ATTTCATTTACCATTAGTTCAAATTTTCAATTCAACCATCATCATCTCCATCATGTCCATCCTGATCTTCTCCTTCTTCCTGGTCCAATCTTGCAGCTCCGTTGCACACTCTGCACTTACAACAAACTATACAAGGTGCCGCTAGCAATAAAAGAGGTGAAGCGACTAAGAGTAGAATGCCAAAGCCAGCAAATATTCCAATTACCTAAAAATTAATTGCAAAATATAATTGACCAACTATTCGATGAAGACAAAACTGGATGATCAGTATTATTACCTGTGTTCTATGCCAGATTACGGAAGCTCTAGAATGTCCTAATTTGTTTTTGCATGGCCCCTTGTCGTAGTGGCGTAACAGAAAATCATCCTGAAAATAAGAAAAATGATACAATTCATATACACAAAATCCAAGCAAAATTACAGACTATAAATTGTATTAATTGATCATGATCATGATCGTATAAGGCAGTGTTTCCCAACGTGTGGCGCACGCCCCACCGGGGGCCAATTTGTAATTTCAGGGGGGCAATTTGAAAATTTTGGTGATTTTAATGTGATGCAGTATAGTATCGGTAAAACATTTAACAAAAAAATGCTTCTTAGATTTAGAAAAATAAGGTGTCCCGGTGTGGCCGCGATGATTTTATTTTTCAACCTAGCTTTCCTTGTGCCGGAGTTATGGTTTTCTCGGGTTGACTTGACTTTTTCTAATTATTTGGGTAGCAGTAGCCCTTCACTAATTATTTTAAACTTCTATATTCCAATTTATGAAAATTACCAAAAAAATAGGAAAATCAAGTTTCTGATTGCTTGGCAAAGTGCTTTATTTAAAGATCTGTGACAAGACTCGACTTGAAATGTGCACAAGAAAAGTTTTATGAGAACAGAGTTTTATACAAGGCTTTAAAAGCGGCAAAATTGTAAATATGACGTGAGTTTTTTACTCACTGTCAGTAACTATGCCAAAAGATGGAATTAATTTAAAATAAACTAATTTTTATTGTATCCTTAAATAGTATTTAATTGTAGTATTAAACAGATTTCTTCAAATGATTCTTTAGGGTTGTTGAGGTTGAGGTTGTATTGTATGTGAGAAATTTAGCTCTCGATTAGTAGAAAATACTTTTTTGATCGGTTGTGTAGAGCGTTGAAAGATGGAATATCAAAACAAACATTTTAGTCAAATTTTGCATTTTTATTTCTGCAAAGGGTAAAACGATGCTCCCAAAGAATAGGTGCTGTTTATGGTGTCGAAGCTTTGAAAAGCAGCTATGTTAAAATTGATTTTGAAAATGTCATTCTGGTGATTTTCCACTCAATGCTGCTCTGATTGTCCAGTTAAAGTTTTGGACAAACTAATTAAAGCAATAATCGATTGGGCTAATAGAAACAATTTCGCTATGTTTAAAAATTATTGGGGGTTGGTGAAAAATTTTCTCCACATCCACCAAATGTTCCTGACCACAAACCATCTGATTTAAAACCCTTGAATTAAAAAAAATCATGATGGTGTCAAATTGTGTGTAATTCAGTTTTTGCTAATAAAAACTAGAAGTTTTATAAACTTGGGATAATGATGCTTCTTTGAAAATAACAAAAGGCCATCGATCAAAATGGTATACATAACAAAGTTATTTAATTCTACGCAAAAATTGTCTTTGATTTTTTAACAAAAATGCGCACTTACTTAGTTGCCAACGATAACTATCAATTTCTAGAAAAATATGCGCACTTACTTAGTTGCCAATGTGATAACTAAAAAAGATTTAACAAAAAATATATAAAATTAAGATATAATTCCGTTTAAGAAAACGTCAAGTAAATTCGTTAAGAAGTGGCTTTATGAAGAAACTGAAACTAAATGCCCAAATGTAATCATATGTACAAGAGTTTGCTATAATTTATTGAAAAAAAGAAAAAGCTTTGATTAGAACCTACTATAAAATCTTTATTTTAGCTTAAGTATTGCATTAAATAAATTTCGAAAAAGAACAGTAATAAAATTAGTTTAAATTTTCCGTATGTTGGCTTATTCCGAAATTTTACTTATGATGTTTAATAACAATTTAATAGCGATTTCATCTTAAAAGTTATCGTTCTCATTTTTTCTGGGAGAAAAAAAAATTGTATGGGGAGGGGCATAACGTTTTTATAAACCTCAAGGTGGGGCGGGGCCCAAAAAAGGTTGGGAATCACTGGTATAAGGTGTATGATCTCATACTACTTACATCGAGTGAAGTAAGACAGTACCAGCAGAAGACATGTTTACACCTCTTGCACATCATTTGAGCACAGCCTTCATCTTTCTCGATTGGCACTGAACAAAGTGGACAGCTTTTGATCAACTCGGAGCCACCAGGACCTGCCAGAAGTAACGGAAATCCTTCTTCAGCTCCTAGTGTCAGTGCATATTGCTCGCAAGTTTGTCCTGGATGCCACTAATAGATCAGAAATAAATTAATAAAAACCAATTTGTAACTTGTATTCAAGTAATTATTATCCCTTACTTGTTTTTTACAACTGGAGCAGAATTCATCACTGCACGTTGGACATTGCACAGCACACACAGGAGGTCTTCTGGGAGCAGCAGCCCCCAAACTAGATCCTGCTGCTGTTGAAGCAGCACCTGCAGCAGCTGTAGTACCATCTGGAGCAGCCACCGAGCAAACAGTCTCGCAACCTGCACGAGGGCACCAGGTTCTCGTACGATCCATATCGATTTCTAAAAAATAAATAATAATAACAATAATAAAATAATTTTTAAATTGTATCTTCTAACTTCTTACCTCTGTTCAGTCTGTACTGATTGTGTTTCTGCAGCAGCCTCTCGCCAGCCAATGTTTTAATTTCGTCCTGGGTGAGAGTGCTGGTGGGCTGCACAACTGTGCCAGGCTGGACGCCTCTGGCTGGACATTCGGCATCGGGGCAGGTTATTGTGTAGGCACCGGCTAATACTTCGAATCTTGCATAAGAACGCATACACTGGAAAAGGAAAAAATATAATAAGTATCCAGCGCAATCGATAATATTAGTAAATTCCATGGCGGAGCCTAATGGAATGCGCTTTTGCCAAAATATTTTGGAGTTTAACGATTGTCGTAAAGAAGGTTGCAAATTATCATAAACGTAATATCGATATTTTATTATTCGCGTTCCTCTGTTGACATTCACTCCTTGGCAAGAATTCAGAAATCGAGAAAAACACGAAAACAGGATAATAATTTATCAAAAAAAACATGTTTTTGAATTGAGTGATGAACAACTGAAATGGAATAAACTTTCATGATTTAATTAAATTATTTTCGAGAAAATTTTTGTTTGTGTCGAATGAAATATTAGAAGAAATTGGACTACTAGTTCATGTACTCTTAGCCATTTAATTAACTAGATTGATGCAGATTATTCTCGTAAATTTAATTAATTAATTAAAGTAATTAGTTATTTTCCACTGAATAGTTATGTATGATTAAAGTATGGGTCACGACGTTTGTCTGGAATTGACTCCTAAATTACTGAACCGATTTTAGTTTAGATTTTCTTACTGTGTATATTTATATATAACTTAAAGATATTTCTTATACAGATCGTAAGGGAGACTGGGTACGGTTGTGTATTTTTTATTTTGATCAGCATCCCTTAAAGATGTTTCTTATACAGATCGTAGGAGAAACTGGGTACGATTGTGTAATTTTTTTGATCAGCAATAATTTTGTTAATTCACCACTTAGCTGGAGAAAAGTAAATTAAGTAAATTAAATGGTAATTTGAACCTCAAATACGATGTATTATTTAAAAAGTCAAATCACACACGAAAAAGGCGAGGGATCAAAAAAACTTATTTTCGATTCTGCGGTCTTCAGATCATGTTAATGTAGAGCGCTGACTCAATGCAATAATGGAAACTTGTTCGAACCAACATACTTCATCTTTCTCCCTTTTTACCATATCTCAAAATCAGTTTAGTTTAGATAGTATGCCGTTTGTTAAAACTTATTAAAAATCACAAAATCAATTATTATCATTATATTAAGGAATTGTGTTTTTGGTATTTGAGAATTTTGAAATAAAAAAATTAACTTAAGAACCTTCATTAGAGAAATGAAGTAATTGCTGATTAATAACTTCTATAATATTCGTTCACATAGTGGATTATGTTAAACAACGCCTAAACAAATATTGTTTTCACAAATTATTGTATTTGAAGAATTTCATGTAATTAAAATTAACATACATTCATTGACTTGTTGTATTTTTTTTACTTTTTCGCTGGCGATATATTTTCATATCTTTGAACAGCTGTAATATCTGTCTTGCCTAAAAAATATTTTCGATTTTAATAACTTCAAAGATTTATAGAAACTACCAATAATATAGAAATAATTTCTAATCCATCTTCTGATTTAGGCATTTTTCATTAAACCAAGATTTGTACTACGATGTAACTTTAAAATGTTTATTTATCTATGCCAATTTCCTTGTTGATATCGGTACGCATACAACGTTGATGCCGGTACCCATACAACTACAGATCTCTATTCACATACACGACGACTAATCACAATCGACCCGCATTGAAATGATTTCATCGAGAGCGGATGACGAACAGTTTGGGTGTAACGGACTTCTGTTCCATTTGTACGGATTTACACCCTAAAGAAGTTTTACTTCAAAAATATGTTGCACCAAAATATAATTTGATCATAACGCCGTTTGCAAGAGCCTTCAGTATTTACCTCCTGGTTTACTGAATTTTCAATTACCTTCTGCCGCCTATTGATTCCGTTCATCATTGTTTCATGAACAGAGCGAAATAAAACAGTAGGGCGTTCGAATTTTCCATTTCCATTTCCCAGCATAATCTTTCATTTAGTATTAGCATAGAAAAGCCATAGTCGAGCATAAAAAGCGGCCTTGATAAGATTGATAGCACCATAAAATATAACGATGACCGTCCGTGATATAAATAGAAGGCGTGGGGCGCCGTTCGACGCCTCTGTTTTTATTTCGGACTGACTCTGTTTTCTTCATTTCGACAATCATTTATAACTGTTACAATTCGCGAAATGTGTGTTGATATTATTAGTAAACACTTGTCGGCACTTAATATTGAAAGAACGGACAGAGGATAGCATATTTTTATTTTTTAACATCTCGTAGGGTAAGAAAGGTAATAGTAATCGTCCAAAAATCGAAATTGAAATTTTTGGCATTTCTTCACGTTTTGAAGGTTTCTGAACATTTTGGCATATTTTCGAAAAAATGGATGTGTGTGTATATGTATGGATACAATTTTTCGTCCACGTTTTCGGGCGCATGGATCAACCGAATCGAATCAATCAAATCCTATTGATAGGGAGATGTGCTGATTTGTTTTTGGCAAAGTCTGGTCCAGGCGTTTCGAAGATTAGGGGCAAAAAGTGCTGAAAATGGCAATTCCGTTTTTAGGAGAACGGAGCATCCAATTTGGATGTCTCAAAAAAAAAACATGTTATTTATATTGACGAAATGAAGAACTGATTAATTTTTTGGATAGGCAGTGCAGCGGTTTTGGAGATCCAATAAAAAAGTAATAAATGCCATCTAATTTCCGCAATTTTCTCATTAATTTGTTTCCTCCTAATTATAAGATGGGCTTCTCCATATGTGTTTTGTAACTTTGTCGCATTGCGCTTTTCGCAAGTACATACTGAACTGACTATATCGCGAATATCGATTACTGCGCGTCGACAGCACTACTTGCATCAAGGTCGATCTGCTCGACCCCTGGCTGTTGGTCCAGAATGAAAATAAAAAAATCGATTTGGAAAAATATTTAGAGGTCTAGCTAGATCGTTATAAAAGTCGCAAAAATCGAGATTGACTATATTGATATTAGAGTCAATAGTCCGCATTCTTCTTCTTTATAGTCATTTCACTCATTAAACTTTTATTTAATTGATTACACATTTTTTTACATCTATGCCCCAATCTGCCCTATATCCACTTATCATGTTATTATAATTGAATTCCGCAACATCGTTTTTTGGTAAGTCGCCAACTCGAGAAATCGGAGCAATTTCGGATGTAAAAACACACTTAGAGCTAATATCGATGTGGGGAAATAACCGATTTCCAAAAGTCTGTTTTGGATGAAATGTATATGGCTATTGGGGATGTTGCCTTGAAACTGATTCCAAGATCATAATGGTAATAGAAGTACAGGGATGGATGGAGTTTGGCACAAGCTTGAAGAATTGGGAGAAAATTTATGTAGTTAAGTGTGGAGTTTACCACTTAAGTTATATTAAATATTAGACTATTTCAACTTTCTTGGTCATACCAAGAACTGTATAATAATAATTTTTTTCAATAAAATGATTCATCCTATCAACCTAACCCAGTCATTTACCACCTCTTTCTAATTCTATCTTTATATCAGACTCATTAAAATTGGCACGCCCGTCAAAATTCGTGGGAAAAGAATAACAAAAATCTAAATATAGATGCTTTTTGTTTTGTTGTCATTAAATGAAACGATTGTGAAGATATAAAAAACGGACAGATAGGATTATCGCCAACAATTCAGTATTAGACAATTCGTAAACATCGCATAAACATAAAAAAACGCAGAAATTAAATAAAAAATATTGGAACGTTGACCTGGCTGGATGGATGGATGAAGTTTTTACTAGATGTTGTTTGTGATCACAATAAAATACTTACTTTAACAAAATCTGATATTTTAAATTTATAGGCATGCATAGGACTATTACTGAGTTTGCAAAACTAAATAAATAAAAAATACTTCTAAGATTTTTTGAAAGATTAATAGATTTTTTTCAAAAACATTGATTATTCTAAATAATCTTTTACAACTAGTCCTATATGCCATTCTGCAGATATTCAAGTATGTTGCGACTGGTACAAAACGGCAGAGGACAAGGTCACCACGGTTTAAGTAAAATCGATAGACTGCGGAGTGCTCTTGCACGAAAACTATTCCCTTGGCCCTTTGCCAAAATTCACTTATCCGAATGTATCCAGATTGCGGCGGCAATCAAAGGCGGAGAAGGCCGATTTAGTTATGAACACTATTTGTACAAGGATATATAATAGAAATATGATGCTAATAAATCGAAGAATCTTTTATGGGCCGAGCCTCACAGTTCGAAGTCAAATTTTCAGAGAATGTTGTACCTCAATTGTTTTTCCTTCAATGTAATCTATGTACTCTGTTTTCGCCTATAGTATTCGCAATAGTAATTATAAATCGCCCATCATCTAAATTCTTTCTCGTCTTAAGTCCTTCAAAAACATTTGCGTCAAAAGGTACAAGAAACTTTTTCAGAATATAGAACCTTAGTCCCAAATAAAATTTTTAACGTATTTAATATTTTGATTTTTTCTTTCTGTGGCTTACTGGTTGGAGCCATATGGGTTTCTATTCACAAGTTGCGCATTGGACAACCTGATGTCAAGCAGTAGTGACATCGATTTTTACTTGAAAATATAGATAGCAATATATTGCTTTAATAAAGAATGTCATCAGTATTAAAAAAATGTAATAATAAATTTATCACATCGGGCAATGTTTGGGTTGCAGTCATCACAGTAGCTCATAGAACTTTATGTTAAATTCTGATTGCCGCTGAAATAAATATATAACTAGTAGTAAATGGCATTGTGCCTTAAGGCAAATTGCTTGAACTTCCCGTACCGTAATAAAATATTCGAGGTATATTAAATGTTTCTTTCTTCAACACAATATTAAATATTCTTTTCGTCAACACAAGCAGAAAGTTTTTAGAATAATTCAAATCGAATGCTTAGTTCTATCAAAAACTGCCATTTTTGCATATTTAGCATGGTATCTCTGGAACAGCTGGACCTGCCTTTGCCAAAAACTAATCACCACTTCTCCCAATCAATACTAATTGAATGTTTTTGGATCATTCAAATCCGATACTCCGTTCTCTTAAAAACTCGATTTGTATATTCTGCACTCTTTGCTCCGCATCTCCGTAACAGCTGGACTTGCTTTTGCCAAAAACTAATCAGCACATCTCCCTATCAACAAGGATCGAATGTTTTTTGAACCATTCAAATTGGTTGATCCGTGCGCCCGAAAACGTGGACGAAAAAATGCGGACATACAAAACACACACACACAAACATACATTTTTTCTGAGGTATGTGGTCAGAAAATGGTCAGAAACCACTGAAGATATGCAAAAATTTTCATTTTCGATTTTCGGCCGATTACTATAACTACCCTACGGGAAGTAAATAAAGTTTAAATATAGAAGTAATAAGAAATATTATAAAATACAATAACTAGAATTATTATAAATAATATATTGGAAATATATTTAACTTTAAATAAATTTAACTTTAAGCGGAAGAGAAATGTACAAAAATCTGTAAAAATTCGAGGGCCACCCGGTCAATAAACGATTATTGACAACAAAATCCGCAAAATCCCAATACTTAAAATCGATACATCGAATTTTAGCACACTTGTTTATTTATATTTATATCAAGTTTTTTTCCTCCACGTGTCTGAAGCCGAAACCGGCCATCGATTTTGTTTTAACAACTGGAAAATTTTCAGCATATTGTTTTCTACAATAATGTTTTTTTCATATCGGCACGTAAATTTGAACGTTTCCTATATTTAATTCAAATGTCAGTTTTTGTTTATGGTCTGCATGAGTTCGGTCGTCGCGTGCTTATAAAATGATAATTATCGAAAATCGTGAATCATAAATATATGATACGTATTAAATTTAGCTCACGGCTCGAACAACATGAAATAAATGCTAGGTTGAAAATAGAACCGGTGTGTGTATTTGTTTATTTATTGTGTTTGCGGCGCACCTGCTCCGCATACCGCAGCAGGATCCGGAGGAATCGGAATGCGAACCACGCCCTGAGCAATAAACTTAACAGAGGTACAATCAGGGATTCCAGAAATATGGGTCCAGATTCGAATACTAAAAATTGCAAAATGGCAAAAAAGTGAAATGTACTGCATCTCGCAAAAAAGTCCCCACTAAATATCTTTAATATTGCAAATGTAATAAAACAGAGTTATCACCAGAAGATTGCAGTGCTTATTTCTACGTGACCAACATTATCACAAAAACTAGTGGGGTGCATGGCATCGTGCCTTAAGGCAAATTGCTAGAATTTCCCGTACCGTAATTAAGAATCTTGGTACGAAATCCAAAAAAATATACACAAAATATGTACACATTATTAAAATCTCTATAAAATATCTGATAACTTGATCTACATATGTCCAATAAACATTTTTTACCGCCAATGACATTTTTTTAACTTATATTTATTGAGAGTCCATAACCGCTGGACCTGCCTTCCCAAAAATTTATTCAATTCTTCATCTTGCCAGTACAAGTAAAATGTTCTTTGAATTATTAAAATCGGACGCTCCGTTCTCTTAAAAACTGAGTTACCGTTTTTGGCACTTTTTGCCCCGTATCTTCGGAACGGCTAGACCTGCTTTCGCAAAAAACTAATCAGCACGTCTCCTTATCAATACGAATTGAATGCTTTTTGAATTATTCAAATCGGTTAATCCGTGTTCCCGAAATCGTCGACAAAAATTTCGCACAAACACACACATACACATATATAAATTATTTCTAAGGTATGTCAAAATCTTCAGAAACCTTTGAAACGTAATGATATATAAAAATTTCTGATTTTTTTACGATTAGTATAACTTACCCTACGGGACAAAAAATAAATTACAAGCCATCGCCTTAAATTAGTCGACTTCGACATCAGGAGAAAAAGTATTTTTGTCGTTAGTTTTTCTCGTTTTGAGCACTGTTGTTTAGTTTATCATATCTGAATGTTACTTTTAAGTACACGATATTTAATTATTTTATAAGATGTATTGTTAGTTTTAAGGTAAAAAGTATGAAATGAACGTTTACCCTGCCAAAAGTGTACACAATAAACAAAAGTAAACAAAAAAATAAATTAAGTTAAAAAGGCCAATTTTGCAAGCGGTAAATTTAATAAATTATTATTCTAACTCTCTTGATGAATATTTCTGACGAAATACCAGATCAAGGTTATATACAGTGTTATCTCTGTAAAAATGAACTGAAGCCTTCGTTGAATTATTATTTTATAAAATCACTTAAAAATAAAAATAATGCACTGGATCTATTTGCCCTCTGGTTGTCCCATTTTACCCCGTCTATGGAGTAAAAAGGGACAGATTACAAATTTAAAAAAAATATTAAAAAATCAACCTTCTATAATTAGAACGTAGTTCGATAGTTAGTTGTTTGATACGTGTTATAATGTAGCACATTTAGTACTTGAAGTCAAATTGGAACTTTGTGCCTCGCCCTACATTACTGCAAATTATTCCAAAAAATTTCAAAATATTTTCCTAATGATTTTTTATGATTAAGGCACTTCTTGTAGGCCTATAATATTTTAGGGTGTTCGTTAAGTCAATAAATTCACAAATCATCACACAAAAGTCATCACAATAGTCAAAAAAAAAAAATCAACTAAATTACAAAGAGATTAATTAGGGGCGTTCATTAATCACGTGATCGATTTTTAAAGGATTTTTGGACACCCCCTTAGTGATACGCGGTGATATTCAAAATTATCACCACAACGTGTATTTTTAGTTACGAGAAAATTTGTATTTTTATTTTTAATTTTTTTGTCGAAAATCTATATAAAAAATCGGATCGGATCTATAAAAAAATAGGTAAAAAATAAATGCACGTGATATCATACTATACCCTCTCTCCCCGACGTAATGTTTCGTGTTTTTTGTCGAAACTCCCCCCCCCCACAACTCCCCCTGAAAAATCTTATATCGATTTTGATTAAATTATGTTTAAATAAAATTTATCTTTACTGACACACCTTTGCAATTTTTATGTGTATGACAACACATATAATTTTTTTTAAACAGTACTTTATAATTTTTATTCCTGTGATAAACCGATTAAAATATTTGCAAAAATATCATGACCCTGTCAAATCTTGAAATCGATCACATAAAACATTCGATTTATTTTCAAGAAATTCGATATGATTTCATTCGAATGAGCAAAAGCAAAATTATCTGGACTGACCGAGGTCATTTCCGACTGACTCGCTGACCTTCTTCCGTTCGGACCGCGGAAATATTTTCACTTCCGCAATTCTGGCGCGATTGTCCGGTTTCGCATCATTGGTACTTCCGATTTGGAATACTTTTTCAAGATCTTATGGTAATAAGACACTCTTGGGAAATACATCTTGGAATACGGATGCCAGTTCAATTTATTGGACTAATATACAACTTATCTACTATCTTACCTCTGTGCAGAAGACGCATCCGCACCCTGTCAATCTGGTGACATCAGACGATTCGGTGAGGCACAATTTGCATGTAATAGGCGGTTGTTGCTCCTTTTCTTCTTTGTCTTCTGATTCCTCCTGGACAACTGCACCAGGAGGAGTCGTCGGTGTTTCCTTCGAAACTGATACAAAGGCTCCTCCACCTTGCACCAAAGAATAGCGGGAACCCCCGGAGGCCATGGAAAGTAGGCTCGAACATCTGGAGGATAAGAGAAATAGATGAAAAATGATTTTTGATATATATAATACATGCAGTATTTACATTTCAAAGAATATCATTATGAAATCACTCTTGGCACAGCTTAGAATGTTGAAACACACTTCAGAGATTCTAATTCATCATAAAAATAATGATACTGGCATTGGACGAAAACAATAGAATTAAATTTTTCTATTCAACACTTTCAAGAAACCAATTATATTCATTCTTTTCTTAATTAGAGATCCACGTATTTGTTTTACAAATACTTTAGAAATAGTACACATTATGTAAAAGACACATGTATTTATCAACACAATATTGCAAAAATTAATATTTTAATTACTATTCATATATTTATCACTTTTATCATAAGTTATTAGGCAGCATTTTGTATAACCAACACTTTTATCAGCACTATTTAAAATCAGCTAAAATAAAAATAAAAAACTTTTCATTATAAATGTCGCGATTAATATTATTAAATTATTTTGAGGTTAGAACATTCACTAAAAATTTAAACAAAAAAATGTTTCTTAAGTACTTATACATATTAGTGTTAGATGTTTATTGTTACGCATTTTAGATACATTATTAATACTTTTTTTTTATTAAATTTTTATCAAAATTCGAATATTTATCTTCGCCGCATTCACCAACGTTTACTAATATAATGCTGTCGTACAAATGTATCAGTCATAAATATATGTAAATATTTATCATATTATCTATTCTTTATGTAAATTAATATATTTATAATTATCATATCAAAACTATAAAACCCCGATAAACATAGCTGGCGTCTCTATAATCGATAATGTCTTTAAAAAATCATAAAAAATATTAAACAGGTAGAAATTTATTGATAAAAATTATTATTGATAAAAATAAGGTACCAAAAATATTTGATATTTTTGATGCCTACCTGAATAAATGTCAAGTGCATAAACAAAGAAATATCTTTATGAAACGATGCCTTATAATTACTAATTTTTAAAAAAATTATGTCTTTAACAAATAGAACTTAAGGCCAAAAAACTACTGAACACTTTCGATCAAACTCATGAAAATGTTTTATAATAAAATGACTAATACTTAATAAATTTGTACATTTGTTATTAAATTTGTAAATATTTGACGTGAATTAACCATCATAAATTACAACTGCAAAATTATGTTTACATAAACAAATTCCACACTCGTAAGTAATACTATATTTTATGTAAATTATAAAATTTTATTTTTAATAATTATATTTATAAAATATAATTTGTATACTGCAATAATTTGCTCTAGTTTATATAAACAAATTCCATTTTTGTAAGTCATATCACATTGTATGTAAATTATAAAATTTAGATTTTGATAATTAAATAACTATACGAGTATTTATAAAAATTTAATTTTAATAACTATATTTATAGCACTTTAAACACTTTTTTTTCTAAAAATGCACTTTTATATGAAAAAACGTCTTGGTCGGTTTGTCGGTTTTTAGGAAATAACATAGAATTAGAAAATCGGTTTTTAGTAAAAAAAAAAATACCGATTGGTAGGTTCCAATTAATTAATAAAACCTGAAAAAGATTTGAAAATGACGTTTGTAACCAACTGAACCACAGTATTGGATATACTAAAAAATATTCACACCCTTATACGTAAAAATTATGCATAAATAACAAATAATTAATTGTTTTTAAAATGTTTATATCGTGATCACATATTATTTTTTTATTCTTCCAAATTGCATAACAAAAATATTATTAATAAAACTGAAAGTAAATAAATACAGTAAAAGAGTACTTCAACTCACTAGAAATTTTCTGTTTTTTTTTTTAAATAAAAACTCTAAACCGGTTATAAAAAATATGATTCAAAAAATTGCATAAAAATTATTATCAAAAAAATTATTATCAATAAAATTTAATAGTAAATAATTTCATTCAAAAACTGCTTTCAATCACTCTAAATTTTCTGTTAATTTTTTTTTAATTCTAAACAGGTTAAATGGGCTTTAAAAAAAATACTACTCGAAAAATCACATAAATAAATTATTATCAATAAAATTTAATAGTAAATAATTTCAGTCAAAAACTGCTTTCAATCACTCCAAATTTTCTGTTAATTTTTTTTTAACTCTAAACAGGTTAAATGGGTTTTAAAAAAATACTACTCGAAAAATTGCATAAAACATGATTATGATTAAAATTTAATAGCATATAATTTCAGTCAAAAACTGCTTTCAATCACTCCAAATTTTCTAATCATTTGTTTTTTAACAACTCTAAACCGGTTTTTCGAAAAAAAAATACTATTCAAAATGCGTATAAACCCTAGTATAAATCTTTATCATTAAACGGAAACATAATTTCTATTATAATTCACTTATACACTTAGACACTAAAAAATGTCTAATTTTTTATGCCCATAAAATATTTATTTATTAATTAATTTATTTATTTATTTATATGACTGATATGATTTATTGATATGACTTGATATGATTTATTTATTTATTAAAATATGATATGACTTTCTACTTCTTTTTATCTATATGACTTTTTCTAGACTAAAATGGTATTTATTTATATAAACTTGAGCGAGGTATTTCAGCTTATAAATCATATTTTATAAATATAATTATTAAAAATAAAATTTTATAATTTACACAAAATACAGTATTACTTACGGGTGTGGAATTTGTTTTTGTAGACATAGTTTTGCGGTTAATATACACAAAAATAATTTTTTTAACATTTACATAAAAACTGCCTACTACTATTTTCAATCACATCTCCACCACATATAAAAAATGCAACAAAACTATTTTTTACCTCGAACACCTTCCGTGGTCCCCCATCGTGTTTCCCACTCCGGCGGCTGCACCCAGATCCCCCGCACTCCCCACACGTTCCCTCTCTCCGGCGCCGATCACCATCAGATTTACAACTCCGGTTCCGGCAGCGGCCCCTCCGTGTCCGCCGCCGCTGCTCGTGTGACTCCGGAGCAGAGGCACGGCCGATCGCAGCAGTCGGCGGTTCAGCTGCGCCAGGTCGTGGGCCGAGACCGACGACGCCAAAGGGCGCCACGGGTGAAAGGAACTGTGATGGTGGGAGGAGCCGAAGTGGTGCTGGTGGTTCGTCGTGGTGTGAGGGAGGAAGCTGCCTGTGCTTTTGTTTGCTTTCAGAACTGGCCTGGGGAGGAAATTGATAATTGTAATATTAGTTAAAATTATAAAATTATTATGTAATTGGCCAGCGGTGGCGATATCGGTTAGAGCGTGGGCTAGCACAAACTAGTCCAATGTTCGCTGGATCGATTCCCGCTACCGCCAAGCCTGACATCAGGCAACTTTGATGTCAAATTTCCACTTGAGGTCATAGATATCAAATATAGCCTCAAGTGAAAATCGCCTCTGGGTATAGTTGCACATATAATCATTGTTAGCAATCTCTGCTTAATGTTGCTCATGTAAAACAGATTGCAGAATAAAAAATAATAATAAAAAAAAATTTAAAAAAAATATGTAATTGGAATAGAAAAATCAAGTAGGGAAGACTGGGTGCGGTAGTGACGGTGACATACTGATTTTGAGATAAGGTCAAAAGGAAGTAAGATGAAGTATGTCTGTTTGAACAAGTTTACGTTATTGCAAGGATTCAGCGCCCTAAATCAATACGATCTGTAGACCGCATTGCTTCCATTTCTTTTAATAACAACTGTTACTTATATATAGACAGATCACTTTGTTTGTAATTTTGCTATATGTTGAGTATAGAGATGGGCTTATCATATCCGAAACCGGATCTGTTCGAACTTGACTCCGCTTCAGGGAGGAGTTATATCCGCTTAACAACTCCACGACTCCGTAAACTTTAAAACCAAAATACTCTACACAAATTTGTTCTGTAATGCGTTGTTTATGTATCTAAGGATTTGTCATCCCATTAATTATTTGAAATGAATATTTATGAATAAATATCAATAAAATATTTTTTCTAAAAAATTCACAAATAAATGACGGGTTGTAAAACTTTTTGGTCCACCAGATGATCGACTCAATTTTAGCAGTGTTGATCAAAGTAAAAACACAAAACTTGAGAATCAAATAAAATTGGATCAATTTTATATATAAATATTGTAGTAAACTTTGTAATAAAAGCAAATGATAATATTTTTGTATTTTCTGGAAAATGCACAATGGCATTATTTTGACTCGTATACCTAAAAGGTCATAAAACTACTTATCGTCTGATAAAGCGATCGCTTCCTTCCCAAACGAGTTAACAGATTTAATACCTGTTTAAAAAAGTCGGATATGACAAAATCTCCGACACAACTCCGCTCGGATTCACTCCGAGGGAGGAGTTGTATCGGAGTGATAACTCCGGAGTGAGTTAACCATCTCTAGTTGAGTATTAGTATTTTATTACCAGCAATTAGATTTTGTTAGATAATTTAGCTTAGTCGTTACGATGATTTGTCTCCAAAAGTGTGCGTAAGTTATGGTTGGGTTGTGTCAAATTTTGTGGTTAGGGAACGTTCATTAATCACTTGAGGTTTGTAGGAGGTGGGAGGGGTCTGTTTGACAAAAAATCACGAAATAACACTTGGTGGAGGGACGGGTATAGTAAGATATCACGTGTCTTTATTTTTTTGCCAAACATTTAAAAAAAAAATCAAAAATTTTACATTTTTTTCTCGTTACGAAAAATACACGTGATGTTTATTGGAGATGAGGAGGGGTAATTTTAAATATCAGCACCAAGGAGAGAGGGGTCCAAAACTCCTTAAAAAAATCGATCACGTGATTAATAGACGCTCCCTTACGGTTATTACATGTTTTTATGTCTTTTTCGGTTAAATGATTAAAAAGCAATACAAAGAGTCTGACTGGTTTGTAGAAACATATATTCTGAAGTAGGGGTGGCGTAAAATTGATAGATAGTCACTGTAACATTTGCCACCATTGTAATGATATTTCTGATGAAAAGGTCATTATAAATTATTTGGGTGTTTATACCTATTATCTTTTTACCGGTGTGGACGGTATTTCAGTACATCCACGTAGACAAATGTTAAAATTAACATTTAATCTACTTTTTTCCCAGCTAACAGCTAAATTAACAAAATTATTGGTGTTTAAAATCAAGTGGCCTAGCTGTACCCAGTTAATAGATTAAAAATAAATCCTCAATCTAATTATTACTATCTACTCACTTGTGATTGTGCATCAGATTAGCACTCGTACTCGACTTCAGCAGCATCTTGTGCGCATCACCACCTCCATTCATCAGACCTCCATTAGCCACTACATTTCCACTCTTAACAATCTCTGGCCTTTTTTCTCCAACTCCTTCCAACAAACTGCTTTTAGCCTCCCTGGCCTCCGCAGCAGCACCAACCCCGGCCCCATTACTACCATCATCCTTACTATGATGAATTAGTGTCCTGACAAACCTCAATTCGAATTTTCTACGTGTACTATTGTTACTATTAGCATTAGCGGTGGTTTTGTTCTGATTGTGGTTGTGGTTTAGTAATGCGGTTGAATTGGCCGAAGTGCGGGGGTTGTGCACTGATACTATAGAGGCTCCTGAGCGCCTTCCTGGTGGACTGATCAGCGCGGAAACGTCGCTGCTGCAGGCGTTAGTCGTAAACGGTGAGGAGTCGCCTCGGTGATCGTAGTATGGTTCGAGGGAGATCTGGGAAAAAATATATATTCAAACTAGCTGACCCGGCAAACGGTGTTTTGCTAAGTAAGGTATATTCTAAACAATTTCTAGGGAATCAAAAATATTAATACTTTAAGTGTATAAGGATGTGTTGTTTGAATGCAATATACAATGAGGTATTATAAAAACAAAAAAACCCATTAGTTTGTCTATATTTTGTCAACACAAACAAACTGGAAGTTTTATACACTTTCTATAGAAAACATGGTATAATCTAATCCAAGTCTTTTTCGGTCTTTCGACTTATTGATTACGATTCAAGATTTTTTCAGATTCTTTTTGGATTCTGGATTTTGTATATAATTGTAAATAATACTACTGAACTAATACAAAATTTTCAAATTTCAGAGTAGAGATAAAAAATTAATTATTTCTTCTTTGTCCTGCTTTTTGAAAAATTTCAAGTAACATTCGATAAATTAAGGTAAATTTAATGAAAAGTATATATGTAGAGCAGGGCGTGGCACAAAGATCCAATTTGACTTTGAGCAAATATAAAGTGTACATGGTCTGTTCAAAAAGAATTACTAATAATTAAATTTCGCGGGTCTGGAGTGTCTGATTGTCAAAATTTTTTTTTTATTGTGTTGGTATACATGCCCCTAAAGTATGATGAAATTTTCAGCTATATTCACTGTTTACTTTGTCTGTGGTAGTCGCTAAGGTTCGACGTGTTTTTCTGAGCTCGGCGATTTTTACAATGGAAGAATTGAAAAAGTCAAAAAATTTGTATTAAATTTTGCGTAAAAAATGAAATAAAGTGTTGCAAAGTGCAAAAATTCACCAGATATGGCTCCGTGTGACTTTTTCCTATTCCCAAAGTTGAAGAGACCCATGAAAGGACGGCGGTTTTCCTCGATTGAAGAAAATCGCCGAGAGTGCTCAAGGACATATCAAAAAGTGAATATCAAGGGTGCTTCGAAAATTGGAAAAAACGCTGGCATAAGTGTATTATATCTGGGGGGGACTACTTTGAAGGGGACCACATTAATGTAGACGAATAAATAAATATTTTTTTGAAAAAACGAAAATTACGAAAACTTTTTGAACAGACCTCGTATTGTGAAAACCATAACAATTATATCACAACAAATAACAAATTTCAAACGAACAATTAACTGACTACGTTCAGTAAAACTGCCTTCTACTTTATCACTGTAGAAATGTGCTTTTTTATGTCTTTCAAAAATTTGTTATCTAGACCTTTTTACCCTATAGGCGGGGTAACTTGAAACGGTGGCAAACAGGTTTGAAGTCTTATTTTAATTTTAAAGGATTTTACAAAACGATTACATTTTTAAGTAATGCTAAAAATCTACCAACGGAAGAAAATACTTATATTATTTCAAAGATTACCGTTTATCTCCCTATATCAAAGTCTTTAAATCAAAGTTATAGCTGGTTATACATCCTTTTTCCTCTACTTTCAAATATTGTTGTTAAACAATGCTTAAGTTTACTGATTTTTGACACATCGGTGGTGGATCTTTTCAACCCCGGACCTTCGTATATTACTATCTATTCTTCGATAAATTCTGGGAAATTATATCTGGGAAAATATTATTCGACAAAATGTCCATTTCATCGATACCAAATTTAGGTTCTGAATTTAAATAACATAAATAAAAAATAATATAACCTAGAAAATGTTTTATAAATTCCCATGAGTAAATAATGATACAAATGAAATCTTTCAGAGCTTCGTGTTTGAGAAAAATATGCCAAAAAGTGCATTTCAAATAAGTTGATATTTTGAGTTTCTAGTAACACTTGCGGCCCGTTTACTAACGTTTTTGATGTAAATAAAACTACAAACAAAACTACTTGCTACAATTTAATCATAATTGAATAATATTCACGTAACATCCTATTAAACATAATCGAACATCATCTGTCAAAAACGTTTGACATTTCAAGTATTAGCCACCGTCCATTGTTTTATTCAAACTACGCTTCTGCAAAAATTTTCAAATTAAAATGTAAAGTTTCTACGCGATTTTGGAATAATATCTCACTTTTCCGACCATCACTGGATTGGCACGAATTTTTCAAGACTAAGACTGGTCAAATCGGTTTAGCCGTTTTCGAGTTTTACTTGGACATTTGAAAGAGAGCTCCATTTTTATATGTAAGATTGCTAATATCACAAATGACTTAAAATTTATTATTATTACCTGAGAATCGTCGACCGCCCCCGCAGCCGCATACCAGGAATGCGGCCTCCTCGCCAGCTTTTCTTTACCATTACCATTGTGGAGTTGCACAGCCTCCTGTGACAACGGGTGCTTTGCCCCCGCCGCTGCGGGGCGGCGAGGGCCCTGCCCGTCCAGCTTGCGGCGGGGCACTCGCCCATCGGCCGGGGGGCCACCGGTCTGCACCGGGCGGAGGCTCTAACGATATCCGCGAATTAATTGCGCCGTCGCCGATCGCCGCGCTATTACGAGCGACGCCTTATCAAGACTTCTTGCAGGCGAAGTTTGGCGGTAGATCGGCGATCCGACGAGGGAATGGTTTGAGTGGAAGACGACATCGGTGTGATCTGAAAATAAAAGAGAATAAGGGTTAGAAAATTTAAATACATCTTTAGAAAAATTTATTAATGAGTCGAAAAGCAAAACAAAAAAAAAGTGCGAGAAGCAAAGGATCACACGCGATTGAAGTAAAACTTATTTGCTACTGTACAAGATGGCATTTAAGTAAATAATAAATACATCATATAACAATTTTGAATAATGTTTATTAGTAACTAGATGACCCGACAGACGTTCTCCTGTACCTATGTCTGCAATTTTTTAATATAATATACTAATATTTACCGTTTACCTAAAAATAATAATTATTGTTTTTTAAATTACTCTTCACACGAAAATGCATATACATCTATAATATGAGCGATGTTAAATGTAGAACTGCTTTAAATAATGACATGTCGTATTTCGCTTTTTTTTCATTTTTTTTCTACAGTATTGCCCATACATCCCAGTAATTTACAATCACATTAGAATTTTTTCTTAACAAACTTCAGAAAAATTTATCAAAATCCGAATAATCGTTTAGGAGGAGTATACAGTGAGTGCTTGTTAATGAATTTAATATGAACTTTATTTAATAGCAATAAAGCTCAAATTGATTCTACGTTTTAGTTAGAAAACGTTTGTATGAGAAAAAAGGGCTGTTTTTAGGGTTTTTCCGGCAATTATTCGATGTTTTCTCGTCGTAAGAATCATCCTTGGACTTCAACGAACATTAAAAAAAAATTGGCCAAATTGGTCCAGGCGTTGTTGAGTTATGCGCTTACCAAAACATTTTGCGATTCATTTTTATATATAAGATATGGTAACACTCGTGATGCACACATTTATTAGTGTCTTCAACCATTATGCACATTTATATAATGATTAATTATAAATTATTTATTTATAATAGCATTGAAAATATGTATAATATTTAAAAACAATAATGTAATCAAAGTCATACTTCAAATATGACATGATCGGTTTGTCATTGTAATTGGCATTTAGAAATGAACCTTCATTAGTGAAATGAAGTAATTGCTGATTAATAAATTCACACAGTAGATTATGTTAAACAACGTCTAAACAAATATGTTTTCACAATTTTACTCATCATGTAATAATTGTGTTTGAAGAACTTCATGTAATTGAAATTAACATACATTCATTGACTGTTTGTATTTTTTTCACTTTTTTGCTGACGATATAATCTTATTCATTAAACAGCTGTAATACCTGTCTTGCCTAAAGAATATTTTCCATTTTAATAACTTCAAAGATTTATAGAAACTACGAATAATATAGAAATAATTTTTAATCAATAAACTTACGTTTAGTACACGGCACAAATGTTTAATTTATTTTATCATTTTCAAGGAACAGGATATAATATTCTTCTGATTCAGACATTTTTCATTAAATTCAGATTTGTACTACGATGTAACTTTAAAATGTTTATTTATTTATGCCGATTTCCTTGTTGATATCGGTACGCATACAACGACAGATCTCTATTCACATACACGACCCGTATAGAAATGATATCATCGAGAGCGAATGACGAATCATTGGCACTCGACTCTTATCTTATCTTATCTGCCGTAACGCACTTCCGTTGCATTTGCACGGATTTACACCCTAGTCGCGCCTAAAAAAGTTTTACTTCAAAAGATCAATCCCAATTCCATAACCTAATTGATCATTATCCAACCGACAATAATAATAAACAACGATCGACCTATTGAGCGATCAATCAATCTATTGAGTAATGCTAGCTAGTATCGAGTTCAATAAACGGTTCGAGTGGAAAAAGAATCGATCGACAGATGATTAATAAAACTATATAATAATATAACGACGATTCGCATTTCAGAAATAGAGAAAGCTACTCGAAGACAAACAAAAACACGACCGAGCATTATTATTCATAAACGGGGAGACGACACGTTTGCTAAACGCCCGAGATGAATTGAGATTGAGATTGAGATTGAGAAAATATGTTAACGCAATCGTAAAGCAAATATAACCTAAAATAACGGCATTTGTAATAGGCAGAGGCGGACTGGTAAATTAATCAGTTGGAAATTATCAATTTTTCTCATTTTTTTTTCATTTTTGGCCACATAGTGGTTTTACATATAGATGCAGACGTTCAAAACTCAATTTTGTAAAATTCGATAAGGACTCGTGATCGGCTTAGCCATTTCTTTTAAATTAGCAGAAAAGCGCAAAATGTTTTGCCTAGGTTTTTCACAAAAAATTGGAACCAATTTTGAAAATTTAAAAACTGATTGCAATAAGGTATATCCTGCTGAAAGGTCCGCGAGTCAAAAGGTTCACGGCCAATATCTCAAAACAAAAAGTAGTGTTAGGATTTTTTCAACAATATTTGAAAGTAGAAGAAAAAAGTTGTATAACCAGTAATCAGGAGATGAACGGCAATGTTTGAAATGTTTTTTACTTGTGAGCACTGTTGTTTAGTTTACGAGACCTCAATATAATTCTTAGGTATACTAGATTACTGATTTATAAGATGCTTTGATATTTTAATCAAGTTTTATAAGATGTATTCAACAGTTTTTTGTTATATAACCTCTATAGAAGCTTAGACGTGGTTAGGGTAAAAAGTACCAACTGAACCTTCACCCTGGCAAAGGTGTAAACAATAAAAAATAGTAAAAATAATGTTGAAATAAAAAAAGTTAACCAAAACAATTTTACAAGAGATAAATTAAATAAATAGTTTCAACTCTGCTGATGATTATTTTTGTCGAAATACTAATTCAAGGTTATATACAGTGTTATCTATGTAAAAACTGTACACATGAAATTTATATTTTGCATTGGTTGAATAATGTAACTATTATTTCGTAAAATCTCTTTAAAATAAAAAATAAAGCATTGGACCTGTTTATCACCTGGTCGTTTTATTTTAACACGCCTATGGGGTAAAAAGGACCAAGTAACAAATTTTTGAAAAACAGTAAAAAAACACATTTTCACAATGATAAATTAGCTGGAAGTTGTACTGAATATAGTCAGTTAGTTGTTTGTTTGACAAGTGTTATTTGTTGTGATATAATTGTTTTGGTTAAAACAATATAATTGCTCACAGTCAAATTGGTAATAAGATGAGAAACGAGCTGTTTAGTTTTTGGTTCTATTTTTACTCCAATGACGCACTTTCCCAATTCGAGTCCGTTCTAGTTTCCTTTTCTTTCATTTGCTAAATTATGATAATATAATTATACATTTTTTCATTGCGAGCAAACAAATCATTTGCATAACTTATCAAATGTGGTATTCACAGGCACATATAATTATATACATAAAATGCAACCTTTCTGAAGTATTCGATTCTAATAATGTATATTTAATAACAGGGTCATTAAATAGGTTACAAATAGCAGAAATATTAATGGATACGATTAACATAAAAAACTATTAAAATTTTGCCTGATATAGAGAATTTAATTATGGGTTTAATAAACCTTATCAACATTTAGATTATTTAGGAATAAATATTTCTTTTACCATTTTACCTAAATGCAGAAGTATATTTGGCAATGAAAAAAACGTCATTGAAACATTTGCTTGCGTTATGAAACCAAACACTTGCTAAATAGACCAACAACGTAATATTATGTAAAAATATTTCTGCATGTATGTAGATATACATATATACATGTGTGTATGTCAATATATGTATGTTTATTATGGAAACTTTCCGTGAAAGCAATTAACGGTGGCCCGCGGGTCTCTCACGAATTTTAGAAGTTGTTCAACAATAATAAAGTTATTAGGTTATGGCTATTTTAATACGGAATTTAGACAAAATTTGATGTAATTGAAGTCAACAATGCCGGGGATTTATTTTACATATTTAACATCAAAAATAATTCTTTAAAAATTATATCCGCACATACATACACACATGCACACGCACCCACACGCTCACATACATCAATCTTTTCTAAGGTATGCCAAAATGTTCAGAAGGTTTTGAAACATAAATTTTTTTGCGATTGCTATAAACTTACTCTACGGAAAATTAAAATTAGTAATAATTATTGAAATATTAGTAAGAATTGACACAATATTAGTACACAAATATATAATTGCACAAAGTATTAAATAGTTACAGGCAAAAAAATAATTACTGAAATCAATTTTCCTATTTTGCATAAAAGACATTTTTTGAAAAAGTTCAACAAAGGCATCAAGAAAAAATATGAAACTATATAATTGAATTCAATTCTAAATTGAATGAAGGTCTTCGAAATTGAAAATTTTTGCATTTCGCGACGTTTTGAAGGTTTCTGAACATTTTGGCATACCTCAGAAAAAATGGATGTGTATGTGTGTGTGTTTGTATTTATGTATGGATACAATTATTCGTCCACGTTTTCGGGCGCACGGATCAACCGATTTGAATGGTTAAAAAAAACATTCGATTCCTATTGATAGAGAGATGTGCTGATTAGTTTTTGGCAAAGGCAGGTCCAGCAGTTACGGAAAATAAAGAGCAAAGAGTGCAGAAAATAGAAATCGAGTTTTTGAGAGAACGGAGCATCCTATTTGAATGATCTAAAAAACATTCAATTAGTAATGATTGGGAAAAGTGGTTATTAGTTTTTGGCAAAGGCAGGCCCAGCTATTTCGAAGATACAGAGCTAAATGTGCAAAAAATGACAGTTTTTGAGAGAACTAAGCGTCCGATTTGAATGATTCAAAGAACTTTCTACTTGTTTTAATAAAATAATTGATTTTGGAGAAAACAATTTCAAATATTAGACAATGTTACAATATTTATACTAATCTATTTGAAAACATTCAATATTCCTCGAACATTTCGTTACGGTACGGGAAGTTCCAGCAATTTGCCTTAAGGCACGATGCCATACATTCCGCTAGTTCAAATATTTAATTTTCTATGAATGCAACATGATAATCGGCATATGGTGCGAACACCGAAAAAGATAAGATTATATTATTTGTAGAAAATTAAATGTTAAACATAGATAAT